TATCTTAACTTAGGGACTAGTTCGCGTATACACAGATAGACGCACGGACAGACGGGCATGAATAAATTTACTTAGCTCTTCACGCTGATGATTTAAATATACCACATATTTCATAGGGTTTCTTGCTTTACCTTTTGGATCTTACAAGCATCGTGGCAAACTTAATATACTTTGTTCAGGGTATAAATATAGAACTTTATACATTGTAATATGAAAAATAAGACTTGGACGGTAGCAAACTCACTTGGGGCGAACTTTAGTGATCGCTACCGAACTAGAGAAAAATAGAGCTGATGGACTAATTGTAAATCTCGATGAAAATGGGAGCAAATGGAACCAACAACTGCAGAAAGGAAGCTAATGTTATAAAAAAGATAAAGCTTCATTATATAATATTTATTTGTAATAATAAAAGTATACTCCGTTAAAAATTATCATGTGCAACGTTTGAACGTCCAAGCCCTCAAATTTGGTACAACGAATCACATTAAAGAGGGGCACCCTTGTTTGAAAACCTTTAAGAAGTGGGAGTCGCCCGCCGCTAATAAGTTCAATGTATATATATATATACCATACATTCCAAACCAATAAAGCTATATCATCTAAACTTACATAGGACAAATCCTTTTGACCGTTCTTACAATAGTATGAAAATAGGCGAAATTGGATGATAACCCCGCCCACTCCCCATATAACGGTTTTGTTAAAAACTATCACAACGAGCAATAAATCAATAACGAAATGTCTCAGAGGCTATATTAAAGCAGGTGTCAGCATTGGAAAATGGGTGTGGCACCGCCCCATTTCAACCAAATTTAGTACATAACATTTCTTTGGCATTCCCATGTTACAGTGAAAATTGGACTACAACCACGCCTACTCCTCATATAACACAATTTTAAAATCCATCTCATTTTTTCACTTTCCAGTATACATATCAATCACTAATTAATATATCGGGATAAAAATTTGCAGGAATATTTCCTTAAAGGTATGCCATCATCTCAGGCCTAAAAATTGTTAAAATCGGACCATAACTATTCAAACCCCCAGATACCGGAAATACTTTTTGCAAAAAATATCGGTCAACCTGTGGGATATACAAGTATAATTGAAATACGGGAAAATGATTTTTTGATGATAATATACCCCTGTGTCAAAAATAGGTAAAGGCAGGTCAATACTTCCCTTAGCCTTTATATACCTAACATAAATATCTTCGGACCTCCGGTTCACTTTATACCACATTTATCGGGTCAATATATTAAAAATCTTAATGAAATTCCGAAATAATCTTTTCTAATAACAGTGTCTCCTCTTTCCTTAATGTGAGACAGAGTTTTGCTAAAACCTGATGCTGTTCCTCCACCATTGTTCCAAGTTCCGCAACCGAACTAAGGCTTTCCTTATTTGTTTAATATATAAAGTTTTGCAACACCTTAAAATGTAATACACGCAGACTTCGTTTCATAGAACGTTACCAACTCCTTTTGTCTTTAATTCACTTTAAGTTTGTTTACCACACGACCACAGTTATTTTTAATGTTTTGTTATTTGTCAATACTGTTATATACACACACATACTTATAATTTGGAACTACTTAATTTGACAAATTGGTATTCGCTCCCCAGAGCGCTGAAAGCGGCTTAATTACTTATAGTGACATTCTATACTAGATAAGCGGAAATGTTTCTTTCATATGCAAAACATGTCAAAGTCTCGACACATTTTAGTCTTCATTGAATTAGTTTTATAATTCCTCAATATACAATAGATACATATATTTATTAGGATTTCGCCTGCACCAGGTCAGGCCTTGATAAATGAAAATATTTTATTGTTGCAAAATATTTTATTGTTTTTCAAATATGCATGCAATGTTTACTTATATTCATATTATTCTATAAGAAACCTGTCGGAGTAATTATTATCGCAATTAAAGTTTTACAATCGTATGAATACGGTAATTAGCATAAAATATTTCGCACATGATTGCCAATAGACCGATTTACAGAAAAGCGGTTGGAACACCTCAAAAATGCATCGAGGAGTGAGCTAAAGCGACCGTCCATTTTGAGCTTCTCATGCTATATATCATATAAAAAAAAAACAAGAAACCGCTTCCTAATAGGTTCAATGTCCATATTTCCTAAACCGCTAAAGCTATAATAACTCAGAACAAACGTTTTTAGCACCTCTATCGACAGTGTGAAAATGGGTGAAAGCGGGTTGCAACTGCGCCCACTCTCCATATAACGGTAGTGTTAAAACCTACTAAAACCGCGATAGATCAAGCACTAAACACGCCAGAGACATTAAATTTTATCTCTGGGATGGTATGAGATGACTTTATAGGAACCGCGCTCAAAATCAGTGGGCGTGGCACCGCCCACTTTTAGGAGAAAACCCATATCTTGGGATGTGATTAACCGCTTTAAACCAAATTGGGTATCCAACATTTTTTATAAATTTCTATGCTTCAGTGCAAAAACGGGTGAAATCGGACTAGAACCATGCCTACTTCCCATATAATACAATTTTAAATTCCATCTGATTCTTTCACTTTCCAGTATGCAAATCAAGCACCAATGAATGTATCTTGATAAAACTTTGAATGAACAGCACCTTTGAGTTTAGCGATCTTAGTACCAAAAATTGTCTAAACCGGACTAAAACTATTCAACCCCCCAAATATTGAATATGTAGTCCCCAGTTCCTAAAGCGAATATTGATCGAAAATATCGGCCAATCTGTGATATATGTTATAGAAATTCGAAGAGAATCCTTTTCTAATAATATAATGCATGTATGTCAAAAATGGGTGGTATCAGGTCAATAATTCATTTACCTCCAATATACCTAATACAATGATTTTCGCACTACCGGCTGACCTTATATCACATATTTCAGCAAATAAGTAAGATAGCTTAGCAAAATTTACTGGAAGTATAATATTGGATATACTATAGTTTAATGCCGGTAATATGTGAAATCGGTTCATACATTACCCAAACTATCATATACTACATATATTGATTTTTTTTGTTCTAACAAACAGTATGCACCTTGGCTTCGATACTGGCAAGTTGCAAGAGTATGAAATGTTCGGTTACACCCGAACTTAGCTCTTCCTATATGTTCTGCAAAGTCGTAGTACATTATTTTGTTATATAATTAATAGTATACACAGCACACGCGGTGTAATGAATTTTTAGGGTAATTTTTTACATCTTGGATTACATTATTAGCGTTTTAGTAAGGATCCATAACTTTTTCGAAAATAGAATATAACTAATGTTCAACAGAGAAAGTGTAGCTACTCAGCCATGCAAGAATTCTTGAAATCCGACGAGGAGTTTCGGAGCCTATTCAATTCAAACTGTTAAAATGAGCTAAGCCTCAGTACATATGCACTATACATATACACACCCGCTTAAGTATGGGTACCCATACATACTACACTACCCGTTAACCACTGGCACACCTTAATAAAACACACTACACCTGAGAACACTAACACGATGACACCATGCACGAAGACATCACACATGAGAACATCACACTCATCTCTACCACAATTTTACCCACCATCTAAAAAAAAGTTATTGGATCACCGATTCACTTCATTCGATATGAAAGCTCCCGCGCGCAACTATTTCGACTCGACACCACTCCGCACGCATCTTATATATTCGTTTTTGTCTACGGGCCTGAGCGCCAAATTAACTTTTCGACAACAACGATCCTACGCGGTACTCTTTCCGGTTATAACCCGTCGATCGACATCGTCCTAAAATAATACTTTATAGATGTGTTTTAACAACAATAATAATAACTGGCTTTTATAATAAAATAAATTCTTTTATAGAAAAATCGAAATTATATTTATAATTTTAAGCGGGAGTGTATTGAAGTGTCAGTATTTTAAATACACTAGTGAGTGCTCCCATATAAATTGTGTATCGCTTTAAACAGAAACGAACAAGCAAACAATCAAATATTTCCTTTTTACAATATTAGTATAAATTGTTGATGTCAGGAGTATATCCTTAGAAGCTCTACGGACTACAATTAACACATATTTCTATGGCATCCGAGCAATTATGACTACAGAAATTTGATTTTTTCGAAAGCCGCACTACATAGTAGTAAGTTCTTTATTTTGTATACTGATTTCAACAATTCCTTAATATTATATTTACTTAATTCTCTAAACCTAACACTATACTTGAGACAACTTTTTTGAGTCTACATTTTATCAAAAAAAGTAAATTACTGGTCTCTACATAACGCTGAAAGCTTCGAAAGTTTCAAATCAATTAAATCGTTGTTTCATTAGCATACCTTCAAAAATATGTGAATGGCCCCACTGCAAAAAAAGTAATTAAAATGCACATACATAAATAGAGATTTCAATGAACTTTTGAAAAGAAATTTATTAAAAAACTTTTGCTTCGAACCGTTCACATCATCAGTTCTCTCAATGCATTTTGAGAAAGCCATACTTGAAATAATTTTTTCATTTCCTGCCACATAAATATGACGGAAGCCGAATAATTTAACTGTCCTTATGTTTGACCTTATGCTAGATTCGACGCGACGCGATGTTCCTGCAAATTATCATTTATATTGGTCCTTCCAAGCGAGCAAACTACTTAAGCATTTGAATGGCGACTTGGTAGATATGCCAGCACACAGGCACACAAGCCGGTATTCACATACATACTTATATACATATGAATACACATACATTAACGTATGATATGCACATACATATATACATATTTACATTGAAAGGTATGTGAATGAATAAATTTGCATAGAAATTTCGCATTTGCCAAGTTTTGCGAAATCAATTTGGCTTTTGCCGGCAATTTAACCTGCATAAATGCATGTAATTCGAGACACACCGTTTGCATAAGTACATACATATACATACATACATACAAAAACAAACAGATGTCGGCAGATAAAGGAGATACACCGTCTCTCAACTTACCACTCTTGCTTAGCCGGTGAATTTTGACTGCTTTCTCGAAACAAGCGCTAACAGAAGAAAATTTCCAATTAACCGCCTACACGGCTCACCTCAGCTACGCATGCACTACGAGAGCTAAGAGAATGTCTTATTTCCCGTTGTTGCTGTTACCTTCGCCTCTGCTTGCTGCTTGTTTCGGTCCGCGAATTGCGTTCCGTTCGGTTGGACGCGTGGTTGGGCAGCAGGCAATCAAATTTTATTCGCCCTCGGTTGTTCTATTTTTGCATTAATGGCACCTAGTGCCTTGTGTGTGTACTCGATTGGCTTTTGCGTGGCTGCGATAGTATACTTTTAGGTGTTGTTGCCTCGAAGAGTGTTTAACACTGCGCTTGTTGCTTGTTGTGTGTTGTGTGTTGTTTGTCGTTTGATTGCTCGGTCAATTGGCTGTCGACCCAAACGTCGCTTTACTGATTGTTTTAGTTGTTGTTTGGTTATTAAGTTGGTTGGTTTGATGAGGGTCGCTGTTGACGCTGTCGCTGATGATATCTTGGCATATGATGTATATACGTTTAGCTTCTAACGATTTATTTACATGACGCTGCTGAGGTTGTTGACATTTTCGACAAATTTTGTTGCACATTCAACATAGCGTTTGCATTTCGGGTTATGTAAGTGAAGGGGAAATAATCACATTTAATATTTTTTTGTTTAGCTATTAAAGAACTCTTAAAATCTAAAACGTTTTAGTAAAGAACAAATTCTTTTTTCACAATTTCGATTTCGTTTCATACAATTAAGTTTGGAGCAGCTTCAGAAGGGCTCTTCAACATTCTAAACTTCTATGAACCAATTACCAAATAGATATGGCATATGATTTTAAACCGTAAATTCAGTTCCAAATAAAATTTAATTTTAGTTTACCACTTTGTTAGAGGTTATTTTTTGGCCCGCCATGTTAACGTTATTTCACATTGCTTTGGTGATTCCGTTACTTAGTGTTTAACCTCGAAAACACTGGCGTTATTTTAATATTTTATTTTATTTATATATTGTTAATATTATTGATTTTTTTTATACGAGAATCTTGTTTAATTCATAGGTTGTGCAAGTGAAAATTTTTCAATTAAATTTAACTCTCAAATCCTGCCTAAAAGTCACTTTATTCCATTGTTGGTAGTCATATTGGTTTTTTCGTTCATTGTGCTTTTCATTTAACTATTTTTTAAATTTTCTTTTGGCATATTTTTAGATAACGTGCAAGTTTAACTGAGGACAAAATAGACTACACAATAGTTTCGTCCAAGATGATGAGCGCGTCATATCCATGTAACTGTGAGTCCAACCCTGTGTTATCCCTTGTAAATGTATCTCCTTAAAACTCAATATTTTCGAATTTAATTGATATGTTTGTATGACAGCTATACGCTATAGTATTTCGATCATAACAATTCATTCAAAGATTGTACCTTTGTCTTGGACAGTAATTTATGCCAAACAAAAGTTTTCCATACAAAAACTAGATTTTGATTGATTTGTTTGTATGTAGTCTTATATCGGCCGTTCCGACAAATGAGCAGCTTCTTGGGGAAGAAAAGAAAGTGTGCCAAATTGCAAATCGATTACTCATAAACTCAGGGACTAGTTCGCCTATACCATACGCAGACAGACGGTCATAGCTAAATCAATTCAGCTCGACGACGTTTCCTTCGGCCCGATTTGTGATACAGTCTCACGGAAGCTGCATTCCGGCACTTCCAAAGCTGATCATTACTAATGATATGAACTCTTTAGGAAATTTTCAAATAAAGATTGCGGTAGCAGAATCGTGGGATTCTTTTTTTATTCTTTGTTTTAAAAGATTTTTGTATTTGAAGTTGTTCTGTTCAAGCTCGAGGAAAATGATGTTCATTTGCTTTTAGAGAATGGTGAGTTACTAATTTCTAAGAATTTCTTGCGAAACTTTGGCCGGATTGTAAATCACATTAAAATCGAAATTTGAGCCTTTACAGGGAATTATTGAGTACTAATAATTATTGTAGATAATGCTGAACGACCTCTGATAGATCAACTCTTGACACCAGGGGATAATAGTTGAAGTCAATCTGCTATTGACATCTATATCGTGAGTCTTTATATATCCAGAAACACTTACTATTAAAGGTGTACAAAAGATGAGTTGATGAACCATAGCATTCATTTAAATATTTTTCGAGGTTGAATTCATGCATTTTTAAACCAAAAGAGGTTTGTACATACTTTTATACAGGCAATATGTTTCCATATACAAATTTTCAGTGGTTCAGCTGACTCAGAACAACAAGAAAAGTTTTCTTGTCACATATATGTCCGGAGAATCAGTATTGTCTGCAAAGTGATGGTCGTCATTCAGAAAAAAGTAGTTTTTTTATAACTAAGAAACCTGCCTCAGTCAGCATTGGAACACACAATAGACAGAGTAGTAGTTACGCACATAATATAATATACCAGAACCCGGCAGCGAATACTAGAAATTACTAATCAAAGTCGAAATCACAATACTTAAATGCGATCAAATATAGGCAGCTTTTATGCAGGCGCTTTTTATGCTTCGAAAATAACAGTAACCAAGTATTTGGTTGCCACAAACAACATAGGCTCCGGCAAATAGTAGTATTCGCCAGCGAAGAATATATACCGTTTTGAAAGCAGTAATACCAGTTATAACAGAGTAACACAGCCAGCGAATGCTTTCGCGCCAAACTAAGCAGCAGAAATAGTTTTGGGCTCTGATGGAGCCGAAGAACTAGCGAGATGCGGTGCTCAACTCTGAGCTGTGCGCCCTTATTGAGCACATAAGCAAGTCCACTCAACTCAACACAACTCTACTCCACTCTATGTACTCTACTTCGCTTTGCGCTCCTTCCTGCGATACTCAGCTCCATTTGGAGCGCTGCGCATGCCGAACTCCTTACGCTGACTCTTTTTTTACGTCAGTGTGTGTGTGAGTTGTTGTTGGTGTTGGTTGTGTTTGACAAGTAAGCAGGTATTTAGTGGTTACTCTGTAGCCGCTAAACTTATGCATAGATACACGAATGTATTACTGCGCGCTGTTAGGTTAGGTGTGAGTGTGTGTGTGTCTGTGCGTGACTCCGACTCAATAGTTGCTCTCGTGTGAATACACTGATACCCAAACGGTTTTGTTTTTATAACTCTCCTACACTTTTCACAGTTTTCTGTGTGTGCATAAATATATAGTAATTACATGTGCGCTCGTGCTTCTGTGGGTTTGTGTGTGTATGCATGTTTTGCGCTGGTATATGTATGTAAGTAAGGCAGCAAGTATTGTGTCAGATGTAGGTTGATGTAATTTATAATAAATTCTGTTTGACTTCAATCGATAAGCATCACACCTCCACGCTCCAGTGGGTTAATGCAATGAACCCGCGCCACTCTCTCCCTATTTCGTCTGCGACCCACACTCGGCCTTAAAACACACCCGCAATCAACTCTCCTAAGTGTACGGCGTATGTAATGTCCCCTTTGTCGCCTCGTCGCGCAATCAAGAGCATAGGGGCTTAGTGTTCAAGTAATGTTACTTTGACGTTGGCTTTACGCTCACTCGCTCACCGCATCTTGTGCTCGAACGCCTAAAATTATGCATGCACACGCATTTAATGAAATTTGCTGTACGCCAACATATATACTTGCGTACATGTGTGTGTGTGTTTATTAACATACTAGCACAGTTTTGCTACGCCCTGGCTTTTGGGCTTTAACTGTTGGGTTGACATATATCGCTGCTTGCTTTAAGAAGTTTAATGAGACTATTTGCGGAATTTTATTATTTTTTTATTATGTATATATTTTTGCTGTTCGCTCACACCGCTACCGTTTGCCGTTTTCGGGAAATCTATTTTTAGGCACACACCAGTACATGACTCAAGTTAGCTTTATACGCATTTTGCTGCATGTATGCGTGCGTGTGTGTTGCTTTTGTTGGAGTAATGCATTTTTCAACATCACTTCTCGTTGACTCGCACTCGCTTTTCTGTACCTAGAAAACACCCTCCTGCCACTTTGCTGCGCTTTCGTACTCCACTGTAGTTTTCACATCACTTGCTTGGTCATTACACTGTCTTCTCTGTTATACCCAACAAATTTTTCTCATTCTTACTTCTCCTATGTTTTTTTTTCTTTTTTCGATTATTTTTTCTAATCTTTTTCTACAAGATTTACGTGGTTTTCGGCAGAAACTTTTTAGTTAAAACTTTCTTTTAACACTTTTGGTTTTTTCTCATTTTTCCGTGTATGTATTTGTGTGTGTGTGCATTTTGTATGATTAATTAATGATGATATACCTTTTGTATAATTTTTGGTGGGTTGCACAATGCATACGATTTGTTGCTAGACTGCGATATTTGGAATTTTCCACATTTGAACACAAAATTTACATGAATTTTCAATACTTCCTACACTGCGGTATACACTTTTTCAGCAACTACTACCGATTTATATATACATTTTTCAGCTTGCTGGTGGCCCTCTGCACTGTGCCCGTCTTCTGCACCACTAGTTTTGGTATAATACAAAAAAATTTGCTATCAACCCAATTGTGCGGCACCGTTAGCCCGATTTGACGCCGTTTTCCAACTAACTACCCTTAAGAACTGAACGCCAATTCGATGAACGGCTACTGTTATACCCAAAAGTGCTGAAACGTTGTCGCCGCTATCGGTCGTCGCTGCTGATTCGTCGTTTGTGTATAGTAAGGAATCGTGAAAAGCCCATTTAGTGAAAAGAAATTTGTATTGAGCAAAACTTTCTACTTCGTGTATGGCGCGCACTCGCGTTTGGAGCACGCTCGTATGAGTCAAACACATCGATAACAAATCAGTTGGTTCCAATAACAATTGTCAAGAACAACAACAAAATTCGTTTGCTCCCCTACACCACATAGCTACATATGTATTGGCGTCCTCTTCCTCCTGGCCCATAGTCTGTTTAAAGAAGAGCTAACCGAAATTATGCTACACACGAGTGCTCGCACTCAACACACAGAGCGTATGACTGTGTCGTCCGCCTGCCATGCGCTTCCTTCCGTTGGTAATAGCACTTGTAATCAATGAAATGTGGCGCCATCGTATTGCCGCAGGACATCAGGCGCTTACGAGCTCTCACACCGAAGCACAACGCAAAGCAAAGCCAAGTAAAAATGTGACTCGTGCTCTCTCCCCAGTTTGCGTAGCGTATCTACTCACTTTGCGCGTTTTTGTCAGCAGACTTGTGAGGCGCGGGGTTGTGTAACGGTATTTTGTTGTAAATAGTATGGAAATTCCATTAGATAAGAAAGAGCAAATAAAAGCAAATACACAATGAATGACAAAGAGCAAATAGTTGAAATATGAAAGGAATAGACTGTGTACGTTTCCACTGGAAAACGAACGCGAATTTGATGCTGGCAACAACATTTATTGGGGAATTCCTAATTTAAGGCACACTTGATTAAAACAATTAAAGCCTAATCGGTTCGAAATTTCCAATTTCGTAGACAAATACTAATTTTAAGTCAAAACTTTCTGTAATTATTATTATATATATATAAAACTACATTCGAACCAACCAAACATTTAATGCTCTCGCAACTTGCAAAGATCAAAGCCGGGGAAATACTTTCAGGTGTTGGCATAACTTTATATAATATTAAGAAATGTAACGAAAAGGTTCAACTTGATTGTTCGACGAAATTGTGAATGGATGACAATAAAATTTGGTATCATATTAACTAATTTTAAAGGTCATTGACTTACATAATTCTATTACTATATTTTACTTCCCGTCAACGAAAAGTATACTAATAATCTTTGGGGATATAGAAATGGAAGGGCTAAGAACTTATTTTCAGGCAATTTTAAAAATAAATAACTCCCACACTGACGGACATATTCGGCATAAAACTTGTTAGAGTAACGAAAATCAATATATTATATAGTATGATAGTCGTGATAATTCGTAGACCAATTTCACATATTTTCGGCACTAAACTAAAGTATATCCGTTGATCTTAAATATCGGGCGATATATACAGTATAAATCTAACCTGATGTGTGAAAGTGTTCTATTAGGTATATAGAAGATAGGCATAGTTTTGACCACATTTTATTATATATACTTTTGGCAATACCACATAAAATTAAAAGAATAAAATGCTCTTTCAGTTTCATTGAGTAAGGTGAAGTAAAGTCAGCCGGATGTTTGAAAATCTTTATATAAGGATTCATCCAATTTTTTCGAATTTCAATAATACATACTATATCCAAGATTTTTACCGGTATTTTTCGTCAACAGTTAGCATTAGGCACTGGGGTCCACGTATTCGGTACCTGGGGATCTTGAAGAGTTTTGGTCCAATTTTAACAATTTTAAAAGGGTAATACAGTGTTTGTGCAAAGTAGACAGAAAAGAGAAAGAATCAGATGGAATTAAAATTACGTTATATGTTCTAATATTTTCGTCGAATACGGACGCGAACGGACGGACAGACAGACAGTCACTTGAAATTTAACTCGTCTCGTCATCCTGATCATTCATATACTCGTAAATATTACTTCATATCTATCTCGATTAGTTTTAGGTTAACAAAACTATTATACTTCATTTCGTTTGTTCTAAGCTGCAATTCAAGCCCAAAACGAGGATCAAAAAACACAAGTCTTGCAAGATTCGCTCCTTGGACCCATTCAAACCTTGCAGTACGATTAGAATCATTCCAGCTATGCTACAAAAAGTGCTATGTCTAGCCGTGCCGGGTTTAAAGGCAATTTTTAAAAGTTTGAGCTTCTGCTATATGATGAAAAGGTTCTTAAATACAAGGAATTCACTCTTTGTTCTTGGAAAATTTTCTGGCATTCAATAACGTTTCTACGGAAGCTATTCTGAACAGTATTGAGGGGTTAAAAGGTCAAAAGCCTATTGATCTCTAAACGATAAAAGCAGCATGGAACGATGCCAGAATGCCAAGGGAAGGTGTCATCACTCCATTAGCAATATTATGACCAGCATACTCAATACTGTCCATATCTGGTCTGGAGGTAAATCCTGGAGGAAATGTCACAAGCATATTTTATGCTTCTTAGCGTCTTCTGAATCCCTTAGGCTCGTGGCTAATAAATACATACGCAAATAAGGATTGCAGCAAGTAAAACACGTGATAGTTCCTATAATTGAGGCTGTCTTCAAATCAATTTGATATGGTGTTCAGTTCCTCGAAAGGGGAACTGAACTTTACTGTCGAAGCTGTTAAACAAATTAAACTTAAGATATATCTATCGATATCATTTTTATTCGAGACAAAATATAAATTTTGTATAAATATATTTCCATTAAAAAAAAAAAATCATAAATAAATTATCCTAACAAAATGGAGAGAGTAAACCTAGATTCTTACACCTAAATCCTTATTCAAGCGCTTATAAGAACTAATAAGCTTATGTCTATAATAAACACACAGGAAATATCTTACAAAGAAACAAATAATTAGCTAACAAGTAAGGAAGGGCTAAGTTCGGATGTAACCGAACATTGTATACTCTCGCAAAGTCAAATGGTATACTCGTTTGAGATTTCTTTGTGGATTGACTGATATTTTCGGTAGAAGGTCAACTATAGGCAGTGGGGTCCACATATTTAGTACTTAGGGGTTTGAACAGTTTTGGTTCGATTTAGACAATTTCTGGTCACAAGGTGGCATACTTTAAACGTATTATTCACGCAAAGTTTTACTCCGATATAGTCTTTGTTACCTGATTTGCATAGTGGAATATGAAAGAATCAGATGGAATTGAAAATGGTGTTACATGGGAAGTAAGCATGGTTGTAGTCCGATTTCGCCCATTTTCGCACTATGACATAGAAACATGAAAAGAACGTCATGCACCGAATTTGGTTGAAATCAGTTAAGCAGATCTCAAGATATGGGTTTTCACCTAAAAGTGGGCTGTGCCACGCCCACTGTCCAATTTTGAACGCGGTTCCTATAAAGTCATCTCATACCGTCCCAGAGATAAAATTTAATGTCTCTGGCGTGTTTAGTGCTTGATTTATCGCGCTTTTAGTAGTTTTTAACAGTACCGTTATATGGGGAGTGGGCGGCGTTGCCACCCGATTTCACCCATTTTCACACTGTAGGTAGAGGTTCTAACATTTGCTTCCAGTGAATTTTGTTATTATAGCATTAGCGGTTTAGGATATATGCACATTAAACCTATTAGAGGCGGGACCACGCCCACTTTTTAAAAAAAAATTTTAACTGCAGATGCCCCTCCCTAATGTGATCCTGTGTACCAAATAACAGTCTTGTATCTTATTGCGGAGCTTAGTTATGGCAAGTTATTTGTTTTTGATTAATGGCGTTTTGTGGGCGTGGCAGTGGTCCGATTACGCCCATCTGCAATACCAACCGTCTCACGGTACCAAGAAACATGTCTACCAAGTTTCATAAAGATATCTCAATTTTTACTCAAGTTAGAGCTTGCACGGACGGACGGACAGACGGACGGACAGACGGACGGACGGACAGACAGTCACCCGGATTTCAACTCGTCTCTTCATCCTGATCATTTATATATACATAACCCTATATCTAACTCGATTAATTTTAGGTGATACAAACAACCGTTAGGTGAACAAAACTATTATACTCTGTAGCAACAGGTTGCGAGAGTATAAAAATGTTATTGTTTTTTATGAAATCTGCAAAACTTAACCTAAATTGTATTTCTGTTTATTTACACGTGAACTCCTCATAATTTTCTTCACACACGTCACAGGTCACATCGCAGCACCAGTGGAACTTACAACGACACTGTGCTCTTCGTCGTACTTGACGCGTATTGTAGCCACGCCCACAGCACAATTTATCACAGCTTTCAGTTCCACTCGAGGTACGATTGCAAACACGACCAGTCGTGCCGAGTATGCCCTGTTGCACATTGCGTTCGCAATAATCCGGCGACTTTTGGAGATAGACCAGCTCCATACGCTTCAGTTCGCGGCTACTATTCCTCCTACAAGGCAAATAGCAATAAAATCACAGGTGATCCATAAAATGGGCAGTCACTTACTCCCTTAATACTTGTTTCAGTCCATTTATATCTTTAACGTGCACATGTTTGGCTCTTTTGTATTTGCGCATAAGCACCTCGCCAATCTGGCGAAACGGTGGCAGACTCTTCCAACACGTTTTCATCTCACACGAACCACTCACGCCATGACACTTACACTCCGTCTTTAGCAGATTTTTAACTAACTGAAAATTTGGAAAATTAGAGCGTTACGTTAGTGTTGAAGTACTCACCTTTCGACCAACGCGATTGTTATGCAGATTCATCAGAGTGCGCGCGTCGCCTTCGATTTCGCGTGCATCGAGAAACTTGCGTGCGAACTTCATACCAAAATTGATATCGGCCGAACAGCCGCCCCACTTCCAAGATTGCGAGTCACTGTTGGGTTTGTGGCGCATATCGCAGCCGCACAAAGATATATTGCCACGTGCGCAGGCTGCCGTCACAGAGTGCGCCGCTCCGGCGCTTGCGATGGCATAAGTGAAGGCCGCCTCGCGGGAACCTGAAAATATATGTAATATATTCCATACATTTGTTAAGTGCCTTGTATTTTGTTTTTACCGACAAACATGACGTGTCCAAAGACACCTTCCTGCCAGACTTGTGAGCAATTCCAACGATGACCGCGAAACTGATGCTGACACTCATGAGATCCCATCTGATGGCCTTCACCCAAAGCGATCAATGCATCTGGCGACTCACTGCACAACTGCCGTTGTTGTGGAGTTAGACCAGGTATGCGGGAACAGAGTATGGCCGACGTAAAACTGGATACTAATCTAACAGAAATTAAAAAAGAAAAGCGCGCATTTTATTTTCACGATTAGAAGTATAATAAATATTTGCAACCCATTAAAAAGAGCGTTTATATGTGTTGTTAACTGGTTCAACAATATTTTTCTGGTCGTCCTAACTAAAATTGCGTCGTTGCTACACATTATCTACAATTAATGTGAAAGTTTATTTCGTTTATGATATCGCGTGTCGCAATATTGCCTGATATGTATATTTATTTTATGAAAATGTGACGCATATATGTTATTAAAACCAAATTAAATATATGCGCAGATTCAGCAAGGCATTAGGATCATGAACAGTTCAGACCCCTAAAACCCGTTAGTAAAAAGCTCAGTTCGTAATATTAAGAACTTAAACAATTGGCCAAATATATATGCAATAAGAGGTATCTCGATGTACTGTGTAAATGATTCAAATGACTTCCTAAGCTTTTTCAGGTCGGCCAAATTTCTCTTAGATGTATCTTCCGGTGTCAACTGGACACTGGATGTCTCTGTTTGTAATGTAGTGCTCTCCAGCTGCTTCAATGCTGGCTGAGCCATGACCTTGCCTCCAGGCGTCATCCATCGAAAGCTGGTATATTTCCCTATTTATCTTCCTATGGTGAACTGCTTTATATAAACGACCTCAGAAGGAGGTGAATAAGGGAATAAAACAGCCACTGCTAATGAGGTACCTTCCCGTAGGCTTAAAACTAGGCAGCTAGTGGGCACAGCGATTATACAGCAGTGAACGCGTGTCACAGTCCTTGAAGACTGGTACCAAGAAAGCGCTGTAAGCATAAATTCAGAGAAAGAAGATGAACTGAGTAGTTGACCTAGGGTACAAAATCTGACAAGAAGGGATGGCCCCTGAAGAATCCAAGCAAGAAGGAGGTGAAAGCAAAAGCGATATACAAGGCGGCGGTCGGGATATCTAACCGAGATCAAGTCCACACTGAAAATACAGGAGGTAATACGGTTGAGTTGGGCCAGAGAGGATGTGATAAACGTCCGGGCACGTAATGCCAGATACCACTAGTATAGTTCCTCGGATCCAGTGTTTACGAACGAATTGAGGAGAATATCGCTGAAAAGAGGCAACGTTCGACAGAGAGTGAACCAAAGACACCCTCGAAATGGAGAAAGTGCAGGGACGCAGCGGCAGCAGCCTGAGAGATTGTGAAACGACATTTGATGGTGGCACTCATCAACCGCCGAAATCTTGCGGGGCAGATGTCAAAGGATCTGGAAATGAAGCCATTAATACCTCTCACGCACCCATGCCGTCTTTTGATGGTTAAACGGAGTTATATTCCTTAAATGCAACGAGCTTGTGGGAAAACGCAAAACAGGAGGTTGAGGATCGCAACAACATTCCATCGGTGCTTAAGGTGAACGTTCTGCTATCAAATTTTAAATTCCACTGTGACCAAAAATAAACGTTCAGCTATCAAATTTCAACATTCATTGGTTGGATTAGTTAACTTCACCAAACTGGAGTTACAAGTGTTCAGTTACATAATCTTTGATATGACTTGTGAGGATATTTTTCTTAAATTAACGAGCTATACCAGTGCATACCTATATAATATCTTTGATCATTTGGAATGATACTCCTTGTTAAAGTAAAGGAGAAATTTGGTATTGTACTGAAATATTTGTATACTCTCGAACTATCTAATGGTGCCGCGCACTGACTTCTAAATATTTGCCTGTCCGTCCATCTCTCTGTCTTCGCCATCGATAACTTGAGTAAAAAACATGTATCTATCTTTATGAAACTTGACATAGATTTTCCTTAACTCTCTGAGGTGCATTTGGTACAAAAGATCATCTTCATTCTTTTAAGACAATTCGAATTTCAGTTGGCTGAGATCGATCTACAACCACGCTTACTTCCTATATTAAATGTAATTATTAATTTATTTACCTTTAAAATAGATAGTTCATGAATAAAAGAAAATATCGAAATGAATAGTTCATCTGGCAAATCTTATTGAAATATTTATGTTCGAAATATACCCTACTTTATACAAGATTATACGGATTCGTCTAGAGAGGCTCCTGACTTGGCCAATTCGTCTGCTTTTTCGTTACAGAAAATATTTCCAAATGTGTCCGGGAAATTAAATTAAGGAAAAATACAGTTGCTCTGTCAGTGACCTTAAAGTCTTCTTACATGTGTTGACTACACTGGAATTAACCTTTGGCAACGCCAAGGCTAGCAATGCCGTCTGGCTATCTGTGTATATGGTAGCTTTCTGTATCCTCAACTAGTTCTTCAGTAGAACTCCACAGATACTAGTCATAGATATTTTCGCTTGAAAGAAGCTGGCTGAGTTTGGTAGACGGATAGAGAGAGAGAGAGATAGATGTTAAGATCCGCCGAGTTTACCCCCGTCGCTACTTCGCAGTCAATTTTAGACCTATCGGTATATATTGAGATAGTATCTTCCTTTCTTAGTAAACCTCTCTTCCATTTACGTCTATAGGGTATTCTCACCTGGAAGTAACTATGGTATTAAAATCCAACTTTGGAAGGATATAGTCTGATATATTTAGATTTGTTTTGTTTCCCTGTTCCAACCACCAATCTCCTTAATTATAATTATAACAGAAAATGTTGCTACTTTCCGTATGAAAACGTCTATGGACTTGATGCAGGATCATATTAAGCGGATCATTCGGACATGACTTAATAGCCTCTTAAGCTCCTGTACAAGCTGCCCTCTGTCTTCCATTTAATTTTCTGATATTATATTGGTTCTTTAATATTGGCCACCAAACAAAAATTGATCTAGTGACGGCCATATCCATCCATATGACTATTATTCGGTTTTAGGCTCCAGTTTCTGCTGAGTACTTTTTTAATTCATTTCTCAATATAAATTTTGCAGTTCAGTTTGGTATCGATCTCGACCCCTAGATATTTTGCCGATTGTGGGAAGTTGCAATTAAGGTATTTTGGTTTTATACGTCAATAGCATCAGTTTCGTTTTACTAGGTTGAACTCCTAGTCCGTTGTTCGCGGTCCATATACCTGTATGTTACTTTCGTAAGGCTCAGTTAGATTATGGAAAAAAACAGCCCCAATACCATTAACACTATACCGTGGAGTCGAAGTAGTATTTCGTTCAGTGCCACCACACGTAGAAGGAGGAAAGGACATCTCCTTGAGGAGTGCCTCTGCTTCCATTTGCACACCGTATCGCCTATGCCGCCATGGGTCAGAGGCTTAATGATTGTGCTTACTGTGTTTATTGTTAAAAGCTCTCTTTATGTTAAGAAAGGCAGCCATTGTATTATGTTGAGATATAATGACTTTTCTATTGCATTTATCACCTCTTGTAGGGCAATTTCTGTTTATCGACCCTTTTTGTATGAATGTAGTGCAGTCCATAAATTATCGGCTAAAATCTAATAATATCCTATTTTGTTATTGTCACTTGGTTATTTCACACATTTCTATATACAAGTATAATGTTCGGCTTCATCCGAACTCAGTACTTCCTCTCTTGTTGGAAAATTATATATTAGAAATCAATTCTTGAAGTTGTCTTTCGTGTAAAACTTATTTACAGAAAATAATTTAAACTGTAAGTCTAATACTTAGGGGCATGAGCTATTTTCCCCTTACGCCGCATCTTCACAAGCAATGTACATTGCTAACCATCTGTCAAATACATTGCCCATGTTCTTATGTGGGCATTTGCGATATAGCGCATGTTTGAGCTCTAGAACCGTTTAAAAATTTTGTATGGATGACAAAAATTTATGTGGAGGATGAAAAAGTAGATATCTACTTATTTGTATTTTTTGGAAAAATAAGGTTTCATATGGTATTAAGATTTAAATAATTGTTGCACAATGTTTATTAATTAACTCCATAATTAAATATGAGCAAATATTTAATTATCATTTTCCATCTTTTGTTAAAATTTATGTTTTAAATATTACTTTGCTAAATTTCAAAGAAAACATTTTATTTTTGCTAGCATCATGCCACCGAAGCTATGCTTGTACATGCCTCTTCAAAATTTGTGGGCACATGAAAACAGCTCTGTTTAACCACCCAAAAAACAGTTATTTGCTAGCAATGTATGGCATGAAATGTATTTACACATCAATTGTTAAACATTAACAAAAAGTTTCACAATTGTACCAATTTTTAAAGTAACCCCAACAATGTAAATAACAAGAAAAAATGTTAATTTCGGTTGCACTATATACAAAAAATACACTAACTTGATTCCGATCTATTTTCGTGGAGATACTTCGACAAATAAAAGACTTTTCCATATAAGCACTTGAGTTCACGATGGTTGAGTTTGTATGACAGCTATATGCTATAGTGATATTACATTGTATTCTTAGAAAATAACTAGTGCCAAATTTCGTGAACATATTACATCAAATAAAAAAGTGTCCCATAAAGTATTTGATTCCGATTGTTCAGTTTGTATGGCAGCATGTTACAGTGGTCCGATACCGTTCCGACAAATGAACAGCTTCTTTGTAAGAAAAGGACAGATGCAATATTTCAGATCGATAGCTTTAAAACTGAGAGACTAGCTTGTATATATACAGACAGACGGACATGACTAAATCAACTCAGCTCAACATGCTGATCATTTATGTATTATATGTATATATTTTATAGGGTTGCAAACTTTGTGGCAAACTTAATCTACCCTGTTCAGGGTTTAAAAACAGTGGTATCTTCTATGAGTACCAATTCCAATTAAAACATTCGTAACTTATTCGTAGCAAGGATCTCATACATCATATTATATACTTAAAGGTATTTCAAACTAAACATCGCAGTTGTGAAATAAAATATGCAACAGCCACACTTGGCTTGTTTTAAGGAAATCATAAATCAAGTATAATTATAAAAAAACTCAGTTTGACATAATTATGATTAGAATTGACTAATCCGAAGTGAAGTAGCATTGTCTGGGGCGGCTTGCATAGAAACCACCATTTGCATCAGTGGAAAC